TTGGGAAAAAATTTGGTAAAAAATGGTGATAATTCCGCTAAAAATGTTTTACATTTATTTAGGACTTAGTACAATCATCATTTTTATTTATTTATTTATTTAACGCCAAACGGCAATTTATAGATACATTGCAATAATATTAGTAGATTAACAAGAAAATATAGTAATGAAATAATATACATGGAAAATAGTAGTTATAATTAAAGACTTAAGTTTAAACTTATATTAAACAGTGKTYWGCTATAAAGAGTATAAGCTAAAGTAAAGTAAAACTAAAGTCGAATTTTTAGTTGGTTTTTTTTTCTTGACAATTTTAATTTTAATTTATGACAGTTAGCTTAAAACCTGATTAATTTTATATATCATAATAATATATTAGTATAACGTATTATCTGCTTTCCTATAATAATCTTTACCTAGTATTTATTTTATTTTGTTTTCTCTCGTGGTCTACGTATCTGCCGTTGAATATTGACTGTCAACCACTATACTTCACTAAGTATGAGCGTAGATGACGTATATAATAAACTATTATTTAAGTAAATATAAAAATGTAGATACTGCAGAGTTTTCATACATACCTACCACATGGGATATTAGATATTTAGATCACACCSGCGATAGACCTTTTTTCATTATTTAATCTGTATATATAATATAATATATATAAATCACATGCAATTCAATAACATTATACACTATGAAATATAATATATTTTGATTTTTTTTCACGATTATGTTGTTATAATATTGTTGTAGAATATGTTTATCAGTGTTCAATTAAATTTTTTGTTTTTTAAATGCAACTTATACTTTTAGTGATATCTTCAGAAGAAAAATAGTTTTATAGACACCAAGTGAGTAGATAAATGTGCTGAAAACATTTATAAGTAGGTACTGTAGTCAATTTCTATATGAAGAGCATTGACTATAATCAAATAATATTATTATATTATATACTATGAATCAAATGCTAATGACATTTTCATACAAAATATGAAAAAGATTTAAGATTTGAATTCATATATAAATTTATAATTTATTTTATATAAACACTGATGGACATGTTCTACAACAAACACAATCGTGGAAAAATCAAAATATATTATATTTTATAATGTATAATGTAATTGAACTGCACATTACTTAAATTTTCCACAAAAAAAAAATATTGAAAAAGCTAATAGGTACTCTTAGAAATAGTGAGAATTGGGAAAAATTGGGAAAAATTAAACACAGATGATGTGTTAAACTTAACGATTTTATAACTGCGTTCCAAGAGCAAAATTATTTATCACAGACACTTACAGGCATCACTATTTTTTTAACACTATATTTTTGCTGCATGGATAGGTAAAAAAATTTAAAAATTAAATCTATATTAGTGAACATAGATTTTTTTTCGACTAAATTCGCCAAGTACAGTTCATACAATTAGTAATCACTTACAGCAAAACTCAATAATAATAATCAGTGATAACTAAAAAAAATCATAGCATAAGCAATACGTGATAGAATTATTGTTGCTTTGGGTGAGGGACAGGGATTATTGGACTGGACAAATGGAGAGACCACAGCAATAATCGGCATGACTACATGGTGATTCTTTTATCAAACAACACTCATTATTTCAAAAACTTTTGACTTTTTCAATTTTTTGTTTTTTAAAAATTTTAAATCCATCTTGTTCTAGAACTAAATATTTTTTTTAAATATTTTCACCCTTATATTTATCAGGTAAACCATTATCAACTTTTGATTTTCAAATGACAACCTATACTTAAAATGTCATAAACTAAAAAGGCTATTTTTTCAATGAATTTWCACGTTTAAATTTTAAATTTTCGTTAATCCGTTTACGAGATATAGCCTCCCAAAGTTGGGTGGTTTTGTGTGGTGTTTGTATGTTATTATAGGTGTATGTTAGGTGGTATTACACACGAACACCATATATAAGTGTTGTTTGATAAAAGAATCACCCTGTATATATTATATGGAAACGGTAGAAGGCAGAAACCGTTTAAGTCTATATACATGCATGCCGTAGTTGTTATTGTATAAACAAACTTGTTTAAACTAACAATAAAAAATATTAAAACACACAAATTTGTTACACTCTTTCAATTAGTTATTGACAGTAGAAATGCTGATCTAACTTAACCTAACCGCTTGACAGTCTTATTATATTTTATATATAATATAAAATTTTCAACTATTGTGAAATCTACTCCATATAATAATATTAATCAAATAATATAAGTCCCTATGAATCTGTGTCTTTTACAACATGATTTTACAAACTGGTAGCATTTAATACATTAATACATTATGGATTATTCAAAAATTTTAAACCTCTAAAAGTCTAAACATATAAAGATATAGGGACATAGAATATATGAAAATAATTTTAAGAGAATAATAAACATGTATTTTTTGTCTCCGTCTTACAAACGTATACGAAGTACAAATTTTCGTTCACTAGTTTCTATGCTGTGTTTTTAGTTTTGATATGAGATAGAGTGTATTATCAAACTTTTGGTAAATAAATAATCTGTGTTTCAGTGTTGGCGATTTTTCGATATTTTCATTTTCAAGCAAGGTACGTGAGATATTATAAGTTAAATAATTTCATATCACACTTGAAAATTAAAATATCGAATAAAAGCCGACGTTTAAGAATAGATAATGTTCTTTACTTTTACCTAGAAGTTGTATAATAGGTCAATTTATAAAATGTATCCTATTGAAACTATTGAAGAACGAAAATTTGTTATATTGCACATTTATGACGTACACAAAAATTTATGGGTAACGTACTTTATTACACGTTACTTTTTAATAGACAAAAGTAATACATAATTTAAATTTACGTATATTTTATTATATATATTATAGGTATTTAATGTATTTATATTTATATCCTTGCGACTTAAAAAGTTAAACGATTTGCCTATCTGAATTACCCACACAAGAAGATGAAATTAATTAATATTCATGGATTATATAGATTATATTATATACTAAGATACATGTATATAGTTTGTAGCCTTATAGTTGCTTGCTGAATTCAGTCAATCATCAAACATTTTGATTTTACTATTACAATTTTCATTATTAATATTATAACATATTATGTTATAGGAATTTAATACTTATATAGATATCGTAAATGTTGACTTATATACCTAATACATTTAAATGTTCGATATTCGTTATACTGACAAAATATTTTATCGAATCAAAATATGTGTAATTTTTTAAGGATGTGGGCGTTGAATGATGTGAACATTGCAAATACGTACGAATCGAATGAATTTTGTATGCCAGAAGATTATACCCTATCGTCACAGGTAACGTTGAAATACATATTTATTTATATTATACACATACGTATATTTTTTTTAAATTGTTAATTGTTTTATGGAAATGAAAGAATAAATCAATAAACAACGAAAAGTAACATTACGCATGTCAGGCTTATATTCTGTAAATTTATTAATTTTTTATTTATTAATCGCTTCAATATTTCACTCTCAGTTGCGTAACCATCGAACGAAAACGCATACAATAACTAATAATTATAATAATATATTTATATATATATCCTACATGATGACTTAAGCAGGTATATATAGATATTATATGGGTTTTTTTGCTCGTAAAAAATTTTTTACATTCGTTTTTCTAGGTAAATTTTTAAAAAAGCGGGTAAGTCGTGGATGTCGCTCTGCTG